CACACAGCTGCTTTATATTGTTTCCCTTCTCTTCACTGTGCAAACTACAGAATTAAAAATCACTGCCAGCTTGCATATGTGGTGGCTAATGGAACTTGTAAAGAAATTGTGTAGATGTGTTGTTTTCTTTTTAGTTTGCAATGCATGGATAAATGTTACTATTTCAGTAAATGCAACAGCTTGATTAATTAACAAGTTTTTCTGACCAGGAAGTCCTATTTCATTTTGCTGACTAGCTAAAACATTACCAGTTAATACGTGAGAAGGCAATACAGGGTAACTCATTAGCTATTGAAACAAAATTTAATGGACATAGTTCAGAAGGCTAATTACCTAGTATGTTTGAAAATATAACAAAACCTTGTACATTTGGCATAGTTTATGGATACAGTACTCTAATGTAATACTGCATTTTGCATAAAATGTTCCTCTGTGAATTCTGTGTTGAATTTTACCAGCCTTGTTTTTTTTAACTTGGTGCACAGATGGTCTTGTTTTAAGTCATCTGCCTGATGGTCCAACTGCTCATTTTAGAATGAGTAGTGTGCGTTTGCGTAAAGAAATAAAGGTGAGACTCCAACAACAATCTGAAAAATGGATAATCTGCTGCTTAGTGATAAATACATTCAGTCAACTTGAGCTGTCAAAGCTGCACTTTTGTATGATTCAGCTGATCTTGTACAGGTGGTTTCTTTGTAAGCTAACAGGAGGCTAAGGACTAGTGTATTCTACTTCCCTAAGCAGCATAGTTCCATTTTCAGGGTTATTTGCTGAATTTAACTGGCTGTCAAGTATTTTTATAATGAGGCCATTGAATAGCAGCTGATAACCTACATCACCAGGGAATACCCCATGTACAGTGTGCATTCAGTAGGGTACATAAAAATCAGCAGTGTAAAAGGTTTCAATAGATGTAGTTCCTAGTCTTGAATAAAAACCTAGTTTTTAATCTTAGGGCCCTGTCACCTCTTCTGTAGTATTGCTTACTTAGCCCTAAATAATGTACAGTAAAATTTTCTTTTTCTTCTTTGAAGTAAGTAATTTTTAAACTTAATCAGATTTTATTAAAGCAGCATCCTATATACTCTTAGTCCCATATACTCTTAGTTGGCATTAGTACAGAGAGAACACTCCAATGATAGGTAGGCTGCATTATTTGCTGTAATGGGTTCTGCCAGGAGTATAAATTGAATTCTGTGATTCTGTGGTGCAGGAGCCAGGAAATGTAAAATTATTTATGCTTTTTCATTTATGTCATTGAACCAAATATCCTTACATTACCAGCTGCTCCTTTACTTGTTCACAAACTTGGGTTAAAAAAATGATTAGGGCATGTTACTGGCTCTGTCGTCTCCTTTATTTCAAACTCTTCTTTGATAATGTATTAAAATCTTTCTGCATTCTTGTGACTTTCCTTTCAGCGGAAAGGGAAGGAGCCCACAGCACACGTCCCAGAAGTGATCCTGAATAATTTCACAACGCGACTGGGACACTCTGTCGGTCGCATGTTTGCTTCTCTTTTCCCACACGATCCTCAGTTCATTGGAAGACAAGTAGCTACATTCCACAACCAGCGTGACTACATCTTTTTCAGATTCCACAGGTGATGTTTTCCACAAAACTCACAAATGAGGGAGAATGCTCTTGTACCTTCATTCCTAACTTTAATTTTTTTTTTTCCCAAGATACATCTTCAAGAGTGAGAAGAAAGTGGGAATTCAGGAACTTGGGCCACGTTTCACATTGAAGCTGAGGTCACTTCAAAAAGGAACCTTTGATTCCAAATTTGGAGAATATGAGTGGATTCATAAGGTATGTCTTAAGTCGTGAGAACAGTCCTGCTTGAGAAGACTAAGTCTGACATGAAATATAACCATAAATCTCACCCTAAAAAAGCAGCATGAAGGCAGTTCTCAATAAAGAAGGGTTTAACTGACATATTTAGGCAAAGTAGAAGCTTTCTGCTATATTGCAAGTCAAAAATTAAATTAGCAAGGGTGATGAATATCAATGAATTACTTATTTACAACTCAAGTACACTGTAACTGACAAATTTCACTGCCTAGCCTACCATAAACTGGAGTGGTCATCCCTGTTTGTATCCTGTGGCATGAATTTGCTGGTAACTAACTTTTCTTTTAAATTTCAGCGTCGAGAAATGGATACAAGTAGACGAAAATTTCACTTGTAAGTGGAATGTGCCAATTGCTGCTGACCAGGAATAGAGCAGCTGCTTTGAACTATGGATGATCTTGAACTCCTAATTAATGATAATGGCACTGAACAGTATCTGCATAAAGAAAAACTGCAAACATTAAAACTTTCTACAGCAGCAGATCAAGCAGGACGTGTCCTTCTTCCCATGTTTGTAGCCAACATGACATGGATAGTGACTTTTTCCAGTTTAGCAGAAGAACTATGGCAGTGTGAGAGCAGCCTGTACTTCAGCATCACTGAAGATTTGCCAAGACTGCTGCTGTGCTGTACAGATTACACTTCACATTACCAAAGACAGCAAATATGTTGGTTAAAGAAATTCTCAAAATAAAGTATTTCTAGTTTTTCAGTTTTGTTTTATTTTTTTGTTAAGCAGCTAAAACCAGACATATTCAATTAACCAGACAAGAGAGAAATATTTTAAACCTCTATCTAACTTACAGTGTGTTGTTCCCTGACAGTATGGTGATACTTTTCCAAAAATGTTCTCCTATCTAGGGAACACCGAGAAGGCAGAATGCAGTCCTGGAAGTCCATGGTATTTTATTTCATTTGCATATTGCATAAAAAAGTCATGTTACTGAAGTTACAAAAATAGGCTTAACCTCTACAGGTATCTCTTCTGTAAATATATTGACAAGAGGAAACAAAGACTGATGGGAGAGAATCTGTAAGATGCCCTTACAGGAAGTACAAAAAGCTATCTCATGTAAAAATGCTGCTCAGTGAACATGAGGGCCCTGAGCAGGGTTTTGTCCATTAAAATCTTTAAAATGCTTCTTCAGCCTCATAGCTATACTCGAGTTGGTATTACCTACAAATAAACTACTGTTTTGCCTTAAGTTGGCACATTCACTGGCAGCTAAAAAGCCAAATTTTCCATGAGTTTCTTTTCATAGGCAGCTCTAAGTGCTTTTCTGTATTTACCTAATGAATGCCTTGTAGAGTAAGTAAGTAATCTACTAGAGTAGAATTACTCATTCAGATAAAGAGTAATTAAGTTACTCTTTGTCTTTATTTGATGTCTGTGCTATGGGACAGCTGTATAGTTGAATTAGAAAGTAAGTAAAGCATTTTTTTTGTTCTATTTCTGTTACGCTTCTAAGTGTAGTACTGCTGAAGCCTCACTGTTCTGTATGACCATTAACCCCAGGCAGACTTGCAGCAGCACAGCACTCTGCTCTCCAGCTGCTGCAGAGAGATGTGACTGATCAGGTGTCAGCATATCCAGAAGTTAATCAACTTGTTGGAGTAATTTCAAGACCAGACTAAGTCAAGACACTTTTATTTTTGCTTGGCATATAAAACTGATTCCCTTATGAAACAGAAACAGGTAAGTAGCATACAGTTCATTTGGAGAGGTAGATGGTAAGAGGTTTGACGACAGTAGCACTTTTAGAGTTAGATTTGGCACGTTAAAGCTAAGCTTTTGTACAGACTTCAAACCAGGCCACTCCTTAAGGCACTCTGCCCTTACACACATCAGCAGGTAGGAAAGGACGCTAAAAGATCTGAAAAATAAAACCAAAATTTAGTTAGAAAGGTATCGGTGCTAAATGAAACAACTCTATGGCTAAGAACACATCTCTTCAGAGGATGCTGTGGATGGCTACTTAGGGAAAAAACAATCCTCTTTTTCCACAGGTGTTTTATTATAAAACAACAGTTAAAAAAATTAACAAATAAACTTTTAAAACCATGAAGCTATCCCCAAAGGTACAGTAAGATAATCGAAGCTGTTGCACAAGAACTGAAGCTTAGTGTCTCCTGGAAGCCAAACAGCAGTGGAAGGATAGAAAAAATTGTTCCCAGTCAGTTTGTGCCCACCAAAACACCAGGCATCTACTTTGCCTTTGCAAAGCAGGGAAATTTGTTGTGTAACTAACAGATTACACTTCCTCTTCACTGAGGTGGTACTGACAGTGCAATCATAAACTCTATTGGCTCATTGAGAAAACACCAGGGAATTGCAACTAAGAAATTGCTTCTTTTCAGGAAGTGCCTGCAAGAGGTACAGCGAAGAACAGAAACAAGTATTCCATTCCAAAATCAGTAAGGGGGAAGAGAAAGGCCATAACTGAGAAAGAAATTAGTAGGTACATGTGTGCGAGACAAAGGAAACATCACTTCCTGGCATCCACACCTAGGAATTACCAGACCTTGGCAAACCTCAGTGGAGAACTGAATGTGTCACTGATTAAGTACAGTTTATTTGGCTTTTTATAGGTTATCAGTCTATAATGCTTACAGATTATCTCACTCTGAGATTTCTAAGGATTGTGAACTAGTTAACTGTGCATCATGTGTTTCAAAACAATGTCTATGCTGTCACTCCCAACAGATCCAAGTCAAGGGGTAGAGGAGAACACAGTAAAATTATGCATTTACTGTGGTCAAAATAATCAAGTTATTGTGACTCTCAGGCATTTTGGTGAGATCTGAACTGTGAATCCAAAACTCACCTTTCTAAAGAGGTTTGCCTAAAATCTAAGCATCAAAAGTCTCAAGGAATGCCAGATAAGTAGTCTTCATGGTGATAGCAGTAGTGCTAATGAACCTATGAAAGTTTTGGAACAAAAATCCAAATAAGTATTCAACTGTTTGAAATTACTTTAACTGCTACCCACATAGTAGCTTATTTGAGTGGATTATGGATCTTGATCACAGAATTAGATTGGAAGGGTCCACAATGGGTCATCTGGTCCAACCTCCCAACTCAAGCAGGGCCATCCTAGAGCACATGGCTCAGGATTGTGTCCAGATGGATCTTGAATACCTCCACTAAGGGAGAATCTTCAGCCTCTCTGGGAAATCTATTCCAGGGCTCAGTGACTGCACAATAAAAAAGTTCTTTCTTGTATTCAGGTGGAATGTGTGTATCAAATTTTGCCTGTTGTCTCTTTTTTAATTTAGTTTCCACCATGGAGAAGAGTTTGGCTCCATCATATTGGCACTTCCTGTTCATGTACTTATTAATGAGGTCCCTCTCAGATGTCTCTTCTCGAGACTGAACAGACCCAGCTCCCACAGCCTTTCCTCGCAAGTGAGGTGCTCCAGTCCCTTAATCATCTTTTTTGCCCTCCACTGGACCTCCTCTGGGAGCTCCATGTTCCTCCTGTACTGAGGAGCCCAAAACTGGACACAATACTCCAGGTGTGGCCTCATGAGGGCTGAGCCGAGAGGCAGGATCACCTCCCTTGACCAAGAACTGGTACAACTTTTGGACTACATAGTCTCTTCTTTTGGCTTAGAGGGCATCCCCCAGTCATATGGGGTCAGTGCTTCTCTTGGGGACCACCACTGATCTGTCCTGGGAAGTGTCCTTCAAAAGTCTAAGAACCAAAGTCTGCCACAATAAGAATTCACTACATACACTGTCAGGCGATTAATCCTATGTGAGAAAAGGGAAGTAATACCCTTACACAGAGGAAGACAGAGCAGAATTACTGTACAACCAGGTATATCCAAAGAGCTGCTCAGAAACTGGTGGAAGCTCTGCAACAGCAAAGTGCTGCTCATAATACTGATGAATAGCATGTGTCCAGCAGAGCTGCAAGCAGAACAGGGGAGGAGGGGCCCAAAAGGGGGATCCAGACCAACAGCAGCTGCAGAAGTCAGACATCTTTTCTGAGTGCCTCTCACAGAGGCTGTCTCAGTTAAAGGAAGCTATTGTTAGTGACAAAAGTTTATGAAGTGTAATTCAAGAACTTACCACTGAAAGATACTGAAGTAGTTCACATAATTACAAAAATGAACAAACTTTCTGGGGTCTGAATGGATTTGTACTCGATGATACTCCTGTCAGTAAGGGATCATGTTGCGCGTTCTGCAGGCAGAATTGCTTCAAGTCTGCTGCAGCCTGAGAAACCTAGTCACAAAAAAAGCTGGCATTAGAACTCACTGAACACTCAGTTTACTGAGGATTTAACTACACTGAAAAGTATAAAGAACACTGCTAAATGATTCTGCAATACAGCTTACACAGATTTTATAGAACAAAACAGTTGTGTTTTGTTTCTTAAAGCCAAGAAGTTGTGCAATATAAGCAATACTTTGGATGTTTAATTTCCACGTAAAACTTCTAAGAGTGATGGGTGACAGATGAGCAACATCTTGGAGATGGCTTTATTAAGTACAGGAAGATCCTTGCTTTAGCATAAATCATTTAAAAGTACAGTCTATTGTTTAAGATGCTCGACTGAACTGGCATTTCGTCCTCCCTTGGAGAGCCATCCTGGTGACGACACAGCCCGTGGGGGTTTTGGCAGGCTGCACCTACCTAAAAACAGGACAGTGAAAAACTTGTCCCGCTTTTCTTTGCCGTAACTCTGAACTCATAAAAAAAGAACAATCGAAGTTTCAACAAGTAGTATCCTCACTGATTTCTCCTATTTGCAGCTGGCCCAAAGTTTCCTTACCGCGCCAGGCCCAGCCTGGCCCCGGCCCCGCAGCAGTTCGGTGCACTCCGTGCCTGGCGGCGACGTCTCCATTTTACAGCGCCGGGGCCAGCGCAGCCTGTTGTGCTCCCCGGCCCGGGCCGACCCTTCTCCGGAGCCCCGGGGAAGGCGACGCCGCTGGGAACGAGGGAGCGCAGGGCAGCGCGGGGC